GCGCGGCCCTTATCCGCCCGCGCGCGCGCTCATGGACAGCGCAAGGTAGCTGTTTCGCTGGACTTGGTAGGTGCTAATGATTGTGTTCCTGGACCCGCTCGCCACCGTCATCGGGTGGCCCTTCTCGCGCCTGCGTCGGCCCTGATAGCGTTTCCGCTCCACGTCTAAGGAATTGCACAGCAGGCGCTCCAACGTGCCATCTACGTCGGACTGACACTCAGACGACATCAGGTGGGCCGCCGCCTGTCTCTCCGAGCCCGCGCCCCACGCGCGCCCCTGCAATGGCAACGAGTACCCCGCGTCCAGAACATCAGGTGATATCGACAGAAATGCTCGCATCCCGCTCTCCCATCCCGATGCGTTAAATCTCTGCGACACCTCCCACAGCTTGACAAGGGTATTCAGAGAACGCCTCGAATCGCATGACTCTGTGGCACTGGGTTGTCAATGGCCCAGCCACTGTGTCAACGACGTCTATGGATCGGTCCACAGCCAGCATGGGCAACGACGAGGCCAGGTCTTTCGCAGTGTGCTCCTGCACCTCGCCCTGGGCCAGGCGGACAGCCAATGGCCGCAACTCGTTTTCCCTGGTCTTCGTCTGCGCGCCCATGCAAACGGCGCGGCAACTCAAACGTAAACGCAGCGCAGCCTTCCTCAACTGCGCTGGGGTCGCTGGCGCCTGGAACAAAAAAACCCAGGGGCCCTGCTGAGCCGATCCGCATTCTCCTTCTGCGGCTTGTTATTGTCCAGCTTGAACAGTGAGGTTGGCACCCCCAACATGTCCATGAGGAGTAAAGCCCACGCGCAGCGCGTGAACAGCCATAACCTCGCTGGCACTGGCCGCTCCTCCAGACGGAGAAGGTGCTTCGAGAGCGCGCCGAACAGCATGGCGCGCGCGCGTGGGCGATCCTCAAGGCTCACACAGCAATGCTCCCATGCAACAAAATCACGATTCAAGACGCCAAGCAGCGCGGGCGGTATCACCCCCTCGCCGTGCAAACGCTGCAAACTGAACCCCAGCTGGCTGTGTTGGGCGGTAAGATCAGACCCCGCGTCGTGCACGACAGCAAGACGCGCGTCGATCGCACGGCGGAGGTTGAAGGAGAACTCCTCCAAGTAGTCGAATCGAAGGTTAAATCAACCGCCGTTCTCTATGGCGCGGATAAGGCGCGTTCCAAGATCCGCTACCTCATCCTTGAACCTGAGTTCTCAACCCTGAGGGTCGCGCGACTATGGCGGGCGCATGTGTTGACACCCCGCGCGAGGATCGCGGCGCCCGAACGCGAAAAGCCGACCCCCCCCCGCCCCACGAGGGAGCTCCCATGAGGCCCCCAAGACGCCAAGACGCCCCCAGGAGGCCCCAAGAGGCCCCCCAAAAGACTCCAAGGATCCCCCACGAGGCGCCAAAAAGGGCCTCAAGAAGCCCCAACACGGTCGCCGAGAATCCCTGAATCGGCCAACCACGAGCCCCCGACGGACAGCACTGAGACCTCCGACCCACCACCACCACCACCACCACCACCACCGCCACCACCACCACCACCACCACCGAGGCACAGCGGCGGGACAGACCACATGCAACTAGATACTTGAGGACCCGCGTGCACGTGGCAGCGATGGGGTCCGCCTTCGCCGCATCCTTCAGAAGTTGCCCGCATATGGCGACGACAACTACAAGATTTGCTTTGTGACTTGCACAAACGCTGACTATCAGGCCGCACCTGATGCCCAACTCGGGTGCTCTCTGGGAATAGTACTGCAGCAACCGCCTGCGTGCCGAGTCATTAGTCGGAATGCCGTCGCCAACGATCATGTGAATCACGCGGGCCGTCGTGCAGGCTGGGCCGATCTGGCGGGCGCCTAGAACAATCTGCTCAATGGCCTCCCCTGAAGCTGCCACCATGGCGCGAGCGATTGTTACTGCATCCTTCCTCAGAAGCGGTTGTAACTCAGTCAAGAATTGCTCCGAATCGAAATTGGCGTGGATCCGAATCACGTGGTTCTGGATCGTGGACGATCTCCCACGGGCGGAGCTGTTCGGGCCATAGCTTTTCAGCCGCATGGCGGCTTCGTCGTGGGCGTGGGTCAAAAACACGGGATGCGTCTCGGTGGCGCTGCTGACCGCACCGCCTCTCTCCACAAGGCTCGCCACGTGTGTCCGGTTGATGTGTTTTAGCACTTGTGCGCCCGCATCGCGCACTGTCGCAGTACCCCAAGTTGAAACATTGCGAGTCTCCACTTCGGGCCAATCGCGGAGCCAATCAGCCAGCGCCCTCACCGGCACGTTCGGCGAGGTCGTCAAGATTCTTGTCAACCATCAATGCTTTATCCGCCAGCCACTCTTGGCGGACTGGAAATCCTGCAAGTTCTGGCGCGCCGCAGCCGCCACGGCGCGGTGGTGCCGCACGGATCATTGAAAAGAAAGCACCTTCCGCTTCAGGGTCTCCAGTCTGGGCCGTTTCCTGCCTGCCTTTCTCCTCGAATCAAACTCCCCTGCGAGCGTATCAGATAGATGGGATATCGCCGACAGAGACGCCTCGAACTCTGCCGACTGTGGCAGCGCAAAGATCGCCCGGTGCAAAGCTGCGAGCTGTTCTCGCGAAGCGTGGACGCGCTGGCGAACCTCTTCCATGTCAGCCCGCCGCTGCCGACGCAGGCCCGAACCAATGCCTACGGAAGTGGTGAGAAGTGAGCAAAAATCCCAGCGGCGGGCAGTAGAAGGCAACATCAACAAAGCGTCGTAGCATGTGCGGTTTGCGACCAATGCTAAATGAGTCGAGGAATGAGCGAATCTGAACACACTTTCATACTAACGCGAGTGGAGGAGGAGGGGGAGGAGGAGGAGGAGGAGGAGGAAGAGGAGGAGGACGAGGAGGAGGTGGAGGAGGTGGAGGGAACCTTTCGGGGCCTTTTTGGGGGGCCTTTCGGGGCAAGGTCGGCGACCGAATCGCGAAGTATTTAGGGGGCCCGAAATATCTTCTGGGACTCTGGGTTTGCCAAGCCCCGCCTCGGGCTGCTGTGAGGCCGTTGCGAACCCCTAGTGGTTCCGCAGGGGAATCTCCTAGCCCCCGAGGTAAAGGACGAGGAGGAGGAGGAGGAGGAGGAGGAGGAGGTAGGGGAGGGGAATTGAGTTCACCCTGGGGGGAATGAGCCGAGGAATGAGCGAATCTGAGCACACTTCCATACTAACGGGAGTGGGTCTGAGTGCTAGTGGGTGCGTTTGTGATTGCGTATGGGCGCGGTCGAGTCTGCGATCGGGTGAGTCTGAGCATGCGTGAGTCTGTAAGCAAATTAATATGAGCGTGAGCGATTCTGAATGTGAGCGAATCTGACTGCAAGTGGGTCACCATAGGACGCACGCGCCCAAACCACCATCGAGGTCGAGGCGCCGCGCGAGTACCAAGAGGGAGAGAGAAGGAGGAGGACGAAAACGAGGAGGAAGAGGACGATGTGGAGGGAAGTCAAAACATGACGGCGACAACCAGTGAGACAGCACAAGGGGACACAGGTCACCGAGGACGAGAAGAGGAGAGAATGATCAGGAGGAGGAAGGGTGAGAAGATGACGAACGAGGCGCGAAGCAAACTATAACGAAACTAAAACAAAACTAGAACGAAACAAGAAAAAAAAAACTATTCTTCGACACCTTAAGAATCCCGCGACCTTACACCTAATGATCACCGAGGCGAAAACCGCGGATGAGGGCCGTTTGCCCGCTCTCTTCGCCCGCGACCTTGAAGAGAGGTGCTTGTCCCTGGTCAATTTCTGAGGGGGGTGCACTCACGGGGCCCATGAGGCCAGGTCGGAAGAGGTGGGGAGGGAAAGTGCATGTCGTGCTTTGGCTCAAGAAAAGAAAGCTGATTCACCTCTCTCCCCCAATCCTTACGGGGGAAGGCTGAAACAAAGCCGGAGTAAGCCGGATGGGGCGGGACTGAGCAGGACTGAATCGGATTTCGGACCAGGGCAAAATCAGAGTCTGACGTCCCAGGAGTTGCATCCGAACGCACGGGGCCACCACCTGGCCAACTGGAAAAAAAATAAAATATTGCCCAGAACAATACATCATGATCGTGGCGTGGCCTTATGTGGGGCATAGTCGCCCCGCATCACGATGATGCGCGATAAGGCTCGTGGCCTGGGGCCCGCGAGAGGAAAACAGAGACGCTGGTGTCGCCACGCGGGGCCACCACACCACATGGCCAACTGGAAGAAAAAACACAACAGCTTGCCCTGGATTTTTCTAACATGCTCAGCCACTCGGCGACTATAACAGGTGCGGTTTGCGAAGGGTGCGGTTTGCCTCCCGTCATATCTGCCCCTCCCGCCCCCGGGAAACGGATGACACTGTCACTCAATGCGACCGAATCACATGACACTGTTGCTCCTTCTGGTACAGTGGAGCACACATCGAGGATGACAATGTCGCTGGAAACGACGACAAACATGACATTGGCTCTCAATTGTAATCGCCGAGTCATAGCCTCGTGCAGGTCTGAAGGCGGGTTCGTCCCGCACTCCCGCTTCTCGCCTGCGTGGCAGCCCGGGGCCTCCGCGACTCTTCCACG